GTAATATCCCGGTAATCTGAGAGAACTCTGAAAGCCGGAGACCAAACAGACGAGACTCGAGAAGTCGACACATCCGGGGCCTCGTAGTAGTCCCAGAGAATTTCACTGATCATATGATGACAAAGAAGGGCATGGCACTAAGCGTCGGTCATCCGATTGAAGATGTGAGGGTACAGGTTACTGCTGAAGGTGCCTATATTAATAAAGAGTAAACAAGTCTAGCGGGCTGTCAATGTAAGCAAGACATAGTTGTGAGTCTAGAGAGATTAGATCGGTATATCTTGCTAGTCTGGAAAAGGTCAAAGGAGCATACCGGTCAGATGAGACTAGGTTATTACAAGGCACTAAGAGTTGGCAGTCCGATTAAAGAAGAAATGATAGTATAGGGGCCATTATGAGAGGAGACGGTCCGGATAGAGGGAGGTTCATATATAAGGTGTGGAAAAATCCACGGGGCTAGCGAGGTAATGGGGACGGAGCGTTCAGTCTTCCGAGCATAGCAGGCAGCGTCGCAGAAGTAGGAGAGAAGAAGACCGAGCTGCCAAGGTTGGACTTGGTCGGCGCATTGTGATTGAGTCCTATGGTTCATTTGGGAAGGTAAGTAGAGTCAGTAGGATTGGACTGGTCAGAGATATACGTGGTTATATCAACATAGGGCGAACAAGTTCAGCAGGATATCAAGGTGAGGGAGGAAGTGCTTTGGATCGACGGAGCCTAGACCGCTAACATCCCGGTAGCCTGGTAGCAGTCCCATAGAATTTGGCTGATCAGCTGAGGCTGAGTTACGGATGACAGAGGCTCAATCGTCCGATTGAAGAATGATTGGATACGAACGGCGCTCAGTCATCTGAACGATGGCTAGTAATGTCACAGGAGTCTGAGAGAAGTTGGAAAGCAGGAGACCAAACAGACGAGACAGGATTAGTCGGCGAAACGACATTGAGTCCGACAGCTAATTTTAGGAGGGCAAATGGAGTGGGTCGAGAGGTGGAGGTGACTATATAAATAGAGGGTGAACAAGTCTAGCAGGCTGTCAACGTAAGTGCGATATAGCTTGAGTCTACAGAGTCTAGACCGTTTAAATGTTGCTGGTCTGGAAAGGGTCAAAGAAGCAGACCGGTCAGATGAAACAGGGCACAGAGTTGGCAGTCCGATTAGAGAAGGTTTGAAAGTAGAGAACGTCATAAGGAGACGGTCCGGATAGGGAGAGGTTTACTTATAAGGTGTGGAAAAGTCCATGGGGCTCGAGAGGTAATGGGGACAGAGCGTTCGCACTTCTCATTCAATGCCGGTAACGTCACAGCAGTCTGAATGAATTCGGAGAGCAGGGGACCGATCAGACGAGACTGGATTAGTCGGCACACTTAGAGTAAGTAGTACAGTTGAGGTGGGAAGGTAAATAAAGAGTCAGTGGAGACGGATGGGTTGGGATGCAAGAGGGTACATGAATATACATCAGTAATCAGTTCTTGCAAATCAGCCTTGAACTGTTCGCTGGGCGATGCTGGAACTTCGAGTGCGTGCAGATTGAAGTCCCCCACCAGAAGAACGTGACTGTGTGGACGTGTCAATACTCGTTTCATCGCAGCAGCAAGGCCTTGATCCATTTCCAAGGTAGACATTGGAGGACGGTAAACTATTGCTAGCAAACACACATCGCCACGTCTCAGGTGCATACGACACCAAAGAGAATCGTTGATGTTTGCTTCTGAGTCATCAATGATCTCAACATGTAGGTCGGATCGATAATACAAAAGCACTCCGCCTCCTCTGCTAGGCCGAGCTTTTCGTAAGGAACTCATGCCAGGTAACGCAATCTCGGCATCCGCGATTTCCGTGCTCAGCCAGGTTTAGGTGACCATAACTAGATCCCAGGGCGTGGAGACCTGGCGAAATCGAAGTTCGGTTAGCTTGCTGAGAAGACCTTGTGCATTAGTATAGAAGCAGGTGAGGGCATCGGTGGTTAGAAGAGTGTTTGTAGATTCTGGTTTTCGGTTGGAGTTTACGCCGACCCTTGTGGGGTTGGCTGCCGGTAGTTTTTTTGTAGGACCGATGCTGCAGAACCTAGGGCCAGTTTGGGTCGTAGTATTGAGCTCTCAGCGCCAACAAGTGGGTGACCAACTTGTCCCCCTTCAGCCGGCAGCGTGTTTTGGCACTGTCTCTGGTCTGAGCTACATGGCGGCAGGATTGTATTGGTACGTTGCTTGCTTAGTGTGACATGGCCTGTTGGTGGTTCAGTGCCCATCGTCTTTATACGTATTTCGGATGGTAGCATTTGACGCATTTTGCGCCACGTATTGATCACATATTCTACCATCATTTCGGAATGCAGCGATATTTTCATCACTCGGGGACCACATCCTTTGTAGTTAGGTGAAAGTGGTAACCTTGATGTCGAAGTAGCAATAACGTTTTCGAGTGAGAGCAGTTCGCGAATAAAACGCCATTCATCCCAGGCATGCGCTTTGAGAATCTGCTTGCGGCACCATAAATCGTTACTGCACCGGGCACTACATATCCGACAGGATGGCGGACGTTTTGCAAATGGGAAGAAACCTATCCGTCGAGTTTTAGCACAATGTGACCGCATGGGCTGTTCCGCTGGATATGAAGCAAAGCCAAATTGCTGACAAGAAAGCCTGTAGCAGCAGTAATGCTAACTTGAGGTACGAGGCGAGGATGACCGCACTTGTTGTGCGGTCAGGTGCAGGTGCTACACAAGCTACTACTAGAACTGGACTCATCTTCTTCACCAGGCCCAGACGGGCCATACCCAAAATTACTCAAGATGGTGGCGGAATTTATTTCCGTCCCACTTTGGCAAATCTGTCAGCTCTCTCTTAAAGCTGGTCGCCTACCTGTCGATTGGAAGACGGGTGTAGTTATGCCGAAATACAAAGGCGGAAACCGCCAGGACGCTGCGAACTATCTGCCAATTCGCTTGACGTCGGTCGCCTAAAAGATACTGGAAAAGCTCATTAAATGTGCTATCAGCCGACACTGCGAAGATCGCAACTTCACTTCAGTCACCCAGCATGGCTTCAGAAAGGGACATTCCTGCATAACTAACCTGGTGTTCGCTAGAGAGAAGAGGGCTAAATCTGTGGACGCTGGAAAAGGTTTAAATGTTGTCTTCATCGACATAAGCAAAGCATTTGACAGAGTCCCACGTCGGGAATTACTCTCTATGCTCTGCGGAATTGACATAACAGGGAATATCCTACTATGGATATGTGACTTCTTGCAAGGCCGGAACATGGAAGTGTAAGTAAACAATACCCTTTCATTCCTGGTGCCTATGTTTAGTGGCGTACCACTAGGCTCCGTTCTCGGACCGGAATCGTCCAAGATATATCAATGATCTACCTAGTATGCTACAAACGGACTGCCTTATTTGTGCAGACGACCTCAACCTATGGTCGTAAGTGATCAGCCTGGAAGACTACCACGGATTACAGGAAACGCGTGATCTACCGCACTCTTGGTCTTTTAAGTGGGGTTTGCCGGTCAAAAATGATAAGTGCTCAGTCCTTTCTATAGGTGCTGCTAAACCACTGGGCATCTATCACATTGGCGGGCACCTACTCAAGGTTGCCACAGGAAAAGGACCTAGGCACAATAATTTCTTCTGATCTCAAAACGACCTTCGGCACGTTAAAGAGAACTGCTGTGGCGAACGAGACGTAGGACGTCATAAGGAGATCATTCTCTAAAATGACGCCGCATTTATTTAGACTTCTCTTCACCTCCCACATCCGTACCATTCTTGAATTCGGACCTCCGGCCAAAGTCTCTCTATCTAAACATGGAAGTGACAAGATAGAAAAATTTCAGCGACCAGCCTCGAAATTTGTCCTTGGGCTACGCAAACTCCCGTACCCCACCCCACTACAGAGGATGAACCTCTTTTCCTTAGACTACCGCCGACGTCTCGGAGACCTCATCTATACCAGACGCATCCTACGGGAACTGGGAAACGAGCTAAGGCAGCTTTTTCAGCTAAGACTTGGCAGGTCGACTCGAGGTCACAGCTAGAAGCTGTTTAAACCGAGGAGGTTCAAAGTCCGTTCAGATGTTACTCTCTCCAATCGAGTAATTAATGACCGGAACCGACTGTTGGACCCGGTTGTCAATGCACAATCAGAAGGGAGTTGCAAATGTTTGCTAGACATCCTCCTACTGAGTATTACAGGGTACTGATACTACATCCTGAGCTATGACATAGCCAATGCGCCTGCAATCTTTAGAAGGTCGGAAAGCGAAGGAGCTGACACGGATCCCCCTTCTGCTCTCTACCACTCAATGAAGGTCAAGTTCAAGTGGGACCGGAACAGTAGAAAACTCCCGCGAATGTTCCACCTTTAAAAGCCTCGTTGATCCAACAAGGAAACCGGTGCCTTGATGTGCCAAAAGCGTGCCAAATCAACCCACATGATTCACATGGTCAACCAAACAGTGCCCACGTGCGGTGCACTAGCAGTGCCCACTGGGCCGGCCATGTGAAAAATAAAAGCAAACAATAGTGTCAGTGAAGAAAACTTCCGCTCTGGTAGGGCGGAAGTGGACCGCCGGCTCCCCACCCGAAAACCCACCAAGCGGAGACCATTTTCTCCTGCTTCACTGCGGGCTTTGAGATCCTTCACAGCTTCCCGCAGTCTAAGCCTATCCGCCAAGGGGAGGTCCGGGTGTACAATGACACCAGATCCTTGGAGGCTGAGGACTGCGTCAGTGTGAAATGTATAGCTGTGACTTTATTTTGTGGCGAGTCACATCCGCCACGTTGCAGTGTTGTTAAGCGTACATTTGTGGCTTTTTATAGGGAGAACGCTTGTCAGGCGAATACCCACCACGTCCTGGAACACTGTCGTAGCTTCCGTTGAACTGTAGTGCTAGTCGGCTATGCATCGTATAGACCGATTTTGCACTCTATTATTCGCAGTCGGTTGACAGCCAAAATGTTTCGTTGGTTGGCCAAATGGCTTAGTACTGAACCGGCAATAGTCGTTGAAGTCAGTCAATGATGTAAAAGAGTCGCAGAGTCGAATGATAATGATGCGGGTGAGTAAACATATTGTTAATAGAGGCCGGCTTTTTCTATTATATTGTCCGGCTCGCAACCCGTGTCCAGCTATCCATGCTGGACTTGTCATAGGGACGGTGAGTGCAGTTGTTTCTTGTGTCTGAATATGTCCAAAACAGGAATAAATGCTATTCTCCGCAAAGTGGACAAGTATTTCCTTCAAATGTAAGTGTAATTGTCTCCATAACCAAGTGAGAACTCCAGGAAAAATCATCGGAAAAGCCGCTTATGCGCGCGCAGTGCTGTCCGTGAAATGACATCAGAAAAGCTCCAGGTGACTGGAGAATCGGAATGTTTGAGGCAGTGAAGGTAATCACGCCAGAATTGTCAGTCTCCGGTTGTGGAACAGTGGATCCATGTAACTACATTATTCCAGGTGAGTAAATTGTTCTACTGTGAGTACGAGGCGAGCTAAACCCATTTGTTTAGACCCCGTGGTGGTAGCTTCTCCAGAATGGCGGAAAGAGCTCCATTTGGAACGATGTGTGGGTTCTTCATCTCCCGGAGCAAAGAACAAGCATGTAAACCAGCTGGCTATTGAAAGTGGGTCGACTATTCCCAGTGGATAAACCTTCTTGTTTTGGCGGATGTATCTGCGGAAATCTCGAGAGAAAACGGGCAACGGACAAAAGACAGCCAAACATAAAGACAGCAACGAAGCAAGAAGCACAAACACAGACTGGTGGCGCGCAACGGTGCCTATGATACATAGGCTGGTTAGCCGAACAGCCTCCTCGTGGTGCCAGCTGGGTGGTTCGTGTTTTACCCGTTCCAGCAAATAGTTCGGCGGCAGTGTTCCAGGACGGGATGGGTTTTCGACTGGCAAGCGTTCTCCCTATAAAAAGCCACAAATGTCTGCTTAACAACACTGGGACGTGGCGGTCGTGACTCGCCACAAAATAAAGTCACTGCCCCGTGGGTAGCCGAATAATCCTTTCCAACGCACGGACATCCATCTTCTACTCGAGCATTGCCGACGATATGAGAGTGAAAATTAGAGCAGCACAGTTACAAACAGGAACCTCACAGTTACACACCCACACACACACAGCTACATAATTACATACCCCCTACATAAACATACAATGGTACGGCAAACATAACGTATTCTTGCACATTCTTGACCGCGCATTTTTGTCATAATGATCATGCCTGTAAAGGCGTGCCTCGCCTTTTTCGAGAATAAAAACTTTATTTCTTTATTTAAACTCCGTAGAGTGCAGCGCGGTATCCCGGTCTTGCGTGCAACAGAAGGTCATGCGCAAACTGCTCAGGACGCGGCCAACATGTTTCGTCAACACTTCCTCCATACTTTCCGGAGTGAACCATCCCTTCACCCGATTTTGACAGAGCTCTCACCGTTCCCAGGTTTACACAACGTATCGTTCACGGCAACCAATGTGTTGAAAACGCTAATGTCGTTGCGTGTGCACAGCTCGCCAGGCGTAGACGATATTAAACCGAAGGCGTTGAAGGCAGCGGCCCTAAACGTTGCCGAACCATTAGCTCGGTTCTTTCAACGTTGTCTTGACGAAATGCTGATTCGCACACTGTGGAAACATGGGCTAGTCACTCCCATTTACAAAGCGGTAATCGTGCGGAGCCGTCGAACTACCGTCCAATCACTCTCCTCCCAGTTTTATCCAAAGTAATGGAACGTATAATTGCGGAGGCGCTGATGGGATATCTGGAGAACAACAATATCCTAGTGCCACAGCAACACGGATTCCGCCGAAATCGATCCTGCACCACAAACTTACTGCTGGCCCGAGCAAGCTGGACGGAGTCAGCTGATGTTAAATTTGGAGTCGACGTTGTCTACCTGGACTTCTCGAAGGCGTTCGATCGTTTGGACCACCGCATCCTCCTACCCAAGCTTCGAGGCTACTGAATCGATGACCCTGTGCTTGATTGGATCGCCAGCTTTCTCACTCAACGTCAGCTGAATGTGAGAGTCCGCAGCTCCATGTCCGACCCGATTTACGTCCAGTGCGGTGTGCCACAAAGGTCAGTACTTGGGCCATGTTTATTTTTAACATTCATTATCAACCTTGCCAGTGTACTACAGTCGAACTTCTTGCTGTTTGCAGATGATGTCAAAATTTGGCATGACATCCGGACAGAGGACGATCACAAAACACTGCAGAGCGATCTGGACAGGGCGGACACTTGGTCATCCGAAAACATGCTCCACTTCAATGTCACCAAGTGCAAAGTCGTGAGCTTACGCCACCAGCTCATCCATGAATACTTACTCGGAGACCAGCCGTTGCAACATGCTGTCCAGGAATGCGACCTCGGAGTGATCGTGCAGGACGACCTTGGCTGCTCCAGACAAGCTGAAAAGGCATCGAAAAGGGCCAGTCAACATCTCGGACTCTTACGGAGGGCTTTCGGAAAATTGAGCCATCTGTATTTCCGCAAATGCTGAGCACTTACGTGAGACCCCACATGGAGTATGCGATCCAGGCCTGGCGTCCCTGGCGCAAGCGCGACATCAGTGCACTTGAAGCTCCACAGTGTAGAGCAACGAAGCTCGTCAGTGGCCTGTTTCACATCCCCTACCAACGCAGACTGCATTCTCTGGGATTGTACAGTGGTGAATATCGTCGTCACCGAGGAGACCTCATCATGGTCTACTTAATACTGATGAATCCAAATCACCCATGTCGCAGTCTCTTGCAGCTGAGCCAAAATACCAACCTGAGAGGCCATCAGCTCAAACTGGCTACACACTACAGCCGACTTGATTGTCGACGAAACTCTGTCTCACTCCGTGTGTCCCGTGCTTGGAATGCGCTCCCCACTCACGTCGTCCTTGCCGCCACCTTGGCACTATTTAAAAAACGCCTAGATGACACACCTTCCAACTTGCATTATTTGGCATAGCACGTCCTATGCGGAGGACGAAATAACGCGACCCAAACCATGAGGTTACTGACCCTCCCCGCAAAGTGGCGGTGATGTTACCTACAGAAGTGTCCCAATGAGCGACATGGATGTATACAAATTGGAGTAACGTACCACATCTCTCAACGGAAGCAACACACGAGTGAGCGCTATCCGTTCCTTTGATTTCTTTTCCCACATTTGCTGTAATATAACAGCTCTACTTTGGGTGCAGACATTCAGTCCATACTTCAAACTATCATTATGAAGTGGTGCGTTGAAATCTGAAGAGGCTTAAAAAACGATTTACTTGTTCGATTATCCTTCCATTTTATCTATTGCTCCAACCACCCTACGGGACCTGTCAAGCATATGCTTTTTTACCCGTTATAAATCATTGTTCATTGTTCATTGTTCAAGCATGGTGACAGCGATACCAATGCGGGTGGACTGATACACAATAGCCAGTGCCTTATGGCTCGTTGGGCACCCGGGAAATATTGTTGGGCAAGGCAGCGCTGTAGTAACGTACTACTGTGGAACCAGCTTCAAATGGTGCATGGATATGATACTGCGCAGTAGAATTGGGTTTCTCTACATTCGTTAAGCATATAACGTACGTGAACACGTCATATCTGTTTTACTGGTTGTACGACATTTCCTTGTTACCTAATTCTTGTCTTCGTAGGATTCATGCTTCATGACAAGGTAGGTGACATTGCCAGACCAAAAATTTATCAATGGTGGAAGTTGTAGTGTCGAGGGTTCAGTCGCCCGTATGCACCTTCTTCTCCTGTTGATGGGTGGCACCGCAATGAAAAATTATCAAACGTCTACCACCGAACTACGTTACTTCTTATTTCCCGATAATTTTGCCTAAGACAATGATGACGTGAACCATACGCTCCACTATCGGGAGCTACGCTACAGCGCTTTCATGTGTTTAAGTAAGTCAACCCCGCTTTACATCTATGCATATTGCTTTCATTTGTGTCTACAGAATAAATTTCCATTTACCGTTCCTCGGTGTTCGCGCATTGTGGGTCAAGAGCGCCTCACACGCTCTCCATGATGACGTGAACATTCGGAATCGGCACAGACGTCAGCGCCCCATTTGTGTCTATTCTTCGTTACCATTTCCATATTCTCACGAGTACTCAGCATCACGCATTCAAAGGAGTTGCATACAATGACGGAAACAAAAGAAAAGCCATGTGACTCCATTCCAGTTGTATCAGTATCGTCCCGAAATCCCATTACTTACGTTCTTTTTGTCGCAATGCCTAATGTTATCACTATGGCTTCCCTCCACACAACAATAATGTCTTCTATGCGACCTATATGCATTTCAAAACCACTGGTTATGGATGCGCGCTCCGTTTATAGCGCAGCCTTCTCCCGTGCTCATTATACTGCCACCAAAGTGAGACCTACGGAGACTTATGTACTGTCAGTCAAGAACGCCTGTGAGACCAGTAATTGCCAATTCCATGGTGGCAGAATTGATGAAGCCGCGCTGGGAACAGTTAAAATCATTCCTGTGGGCGTGCCGATGCATGCTCTTTTCATTTGTTAGCAGTGCTTACTATACCGCCGCCCATATGGATGTAACTATCATGGAACGCAATTGGCACAAGTGATGGCCGTTCATGTATGCTTCTGGTGCCGATAACCTAACTGTCGCTGTAGGCTATAATTCTGCTTCTCTGTGGAACATACATAGGCTTACTAAGCACTGTTCCTTTACCGCAGTGAAGTCAAAAATATCTACCTGGTTAACGATCTTTATGACACTGCTGTTATAGAACCCATGATACTTTTCCATGCATCGCTCGTGCAACCAATCGAAGCCAACACTGGAGGGCGGTTCAGTGAACAAACAAATGCCACTCGTGAGGCAATCATATGGCCTTACTATGTACCCGTCACGTTCGCAGGAACATTAACCTACCTATAGTCTGGCGTACATATGTGGGCTACTAGTACGAAAACATTGCAAAAACGTTCATTGATTTTTCCCTTCTTCCTTTTGCCATCCTATTATTCCCTATGCTTCCTAAAACTTCCGCATATACTGGATGTGATAAATTTCCCTTAGTATTATGCATAAAACGGTATTAGCTTAATAATGAAATTCGTACCTCACATCACTCCTGACAACTTGATATGCACCATTACAGATACCGGTTAAACTCCATGAAAACTGACACGCACATACTTAATTATTTACTCATTTACGTACGGATAAGGTCATTTATATCTCTGTAACGCAAAGAATGTATACGTTGGTCCAGTGATGTCCAGTTGCAGATATTTACGTTAGACAATCAGAGCGGGGACTAATAACGTGCCGTCCCCTTAAATGGCATAGAAGTGATGATCAGTGTTACCGTAACATGCGTACAAATGTCTTTCCATATGAGGATATAAGCATGGATAGATTGGAGGAGCAGTACCATTTTTAACCACGTTAATGTTGCAAACTTAGGAAAGCATATATTTGTAATTAAATATATACATTCCCTTTCTGACAGCATTATGTATACTTGAATGTACGCCTTATTAACCTATATACATATATATATATATACATATATAT